GTGAGGCGGGGGCGCGGAGGCCGCGGCGCGCCTGGAGTGGGCCCCAGCGTAGAAAAGTTTGGGCGGCGCGGCCCCCAGGAGCCCCGCGCCGGCGCGCCGCCGGATGGGCAATCTCTCCCCGGCAGCCGTCTGCCCGCAGACTCTGCTTGCTCTTATCGGCGCCGCGGGAGGCGGGCGGGCGCGCGGGTGGCGCCGCGGATTTGGCTTCTGATTTCGGGCCGTCTCTGCCTTGCAGATTAAGTACACGGGCTTCAGGGACCGGCCCCACGAGGAGCGGCAGGCGCGCTTCCAGAACGCCTGCCGTGACGGCCGCTCAGAAATCGTAAGTTGGCGGGGCTGGGGGCGCGGGGCACCACGGCGCGCGCGTCACTTGTTGCGCTGGGGCTGCCGAGGCCCAGGCGGGTTCCGGACGGCGCCGCGGACGCCGCGGCTCCCGGAACTGAGCCGGCGCCGTCTCACTTCCTACTTGGGATTCAAAATGCGAAACCAGACGCTGGAGGGCCGCGTCCTGCCGCGGAGACGCTTGCTTCCCTGTGGCCCTCGGCCGGTGGGTATGTTTCCCAGGCACGACTCGGCAGTTTGCCGCGAGTGGAACTCAAACCCGAGGGCAGCTAAACAAGAAAGGGTTATTGTATAGGCTGTGGTATGAGTAAGGCGTCGGGGTATTTTAAGAAAACACCCAGGGATCTGACTCCTGGTTGATAGTTTGTTCCTGAGACTCTAGATTTGTTAATAAATTTATATGCGAAGTTTATTGCCAATATAGTTGAGAATACAGCTTTACACCAGTTATCTGCTATCATAATAGAGGGAAAAGCCCAGAAGAAGGTGCCAGTTTCTTAGAATGTTAAACCTCAGAAGAATCAGAAAGAAACCATTATCGTCTTTTTTCATACCTAAAAAATATACCCCGTTGGTTCTGCATGGATTTGCGAAAACCACAGTTGATTTTGAGGCCGTTGTTTTAGGTGATAGATTTGGTGCTTCTCCACCAAACCTGATGTTAAAAATTTTCAGATGTCCTAGTTCCTTTCATCTTCTTTTAGTTTCTTCACGGAGGTGCTAATGAGGGGGGAATAAAGAAGCCAAAGAACGAGTAGGAAGAAACGAAAGAAAAATTGATTATTAATAAAAAAGTTAAAGTACTTTGTAATGGAATCCAGTTATGTACTTCGTGAATTGGGCCCATTGCGTTTGAAGAGACTTGAAGCTACGGTGCAATTTGAATCTGGATTAACAGTAGGAAGACATATTGGAACATTTATTTCTCTCACTTTGTAGAGAATCTACTTATTTTTGTTGAGATATAATTCACATGCCATAAAATTTTCCCTTTGCATCACCAAAATCATATTTATTTTTAAAGAATATAAATATGTTGAGATTTAAAATGGACTCTTTTTAGAATTGTATTACACATAATGAGAAGACACTGGCTAAATTTATCAGGAGCCTTAGAATAGTTGGTTATTATTGCATGTTATGAAAGAAAATCTCCAGCTTTTAGCCCACTGCCAAGTTTCTTGAGTAGTTATGATTAAAACGTATATGACAAATATCTTTTGGGTTTTGGCACTGAGTGGTAGAAGGATCGCTGATTAGTTGGTCCAATGATTATATCGTCCTCTGCCTGGGTTTCCTTTTGCAAAAGGTGGATGGTATAGTATACTTAACCAATGGATTTCCTGGAGGTAATCGATGTAAGTAAAAAAGATGAGATACAAAGTACTGTCAGGATATTTTAAAGCTGAGGTTTGTTTTTGGAAACTTAGTGAAGCATAGCTATTAGGGTTTTTCTGTCATATTGGACTTTACTGCATATGATTATGAACTGGGAGTATAATCTACAATATATCTGAATTGCTGTACTATAATATTGCTGTATATTATAGCAGTATTATATAGGGTGCTTGTATTTGTCATAAATTTCCAAGAATAAATCATACACATGTTCTAGGTCTTCCCTTCCAATATCTGATCCTACAAATTTTAATAAGTTCTTAATACCTGACAAGTATAAAAAATTGAATGTAGATTGACTTCTTTGTAAGATTTGCACTTAAGACAACATATATGTCTTAATTTGTTGAGTAATGTAACTATTTGTATTTGGGAAGGAATTCCACATTTCCCTCTTTCTAGTTTCCCTCCTTTAATTCAGTGTTCTCCACATTTAAATTACGGGATTCTTAGCTTCTAGAGGTTGGAGACCACATTAATTCTGTGGTATATTCGTTAATATACTCCCCTCTGTGCAGGTACTTTGCACAATGCCTTTTGCATCATAGTACTTGATGAATTCAATTTAGAGGTTGCTTAATTTAATTCCTAAAATGTATCTCTTGACTTATGAACAGGCAGTGGCTTTTACTTATTTCGTTGTGGAAATAGATGTGGAAAAGGCATTCTTTGGCCTCTATTTTTACAGCATTTATATACATCAAAAATATACATAGTTCCCAAAACTATCCCCAACCCTTTTTTCTCTTCTTTTTCTTCTGAATATCAATATATCAGTGACGTCGATGAAGAGTTTATTTAGTATTTAAATGTGAAACAGTTTAAAGGCTGTGATGATCATCTCTTCTTAACTATGAAACTTAGCCAGACTCCTTAATCATAGAGTGAATAAGTGATTATGGGTGAGGGGTAGAATCTATTTGGTAAACTCTGATTTATTCCCCATGTAAGTTCTTACTATAGTAAAAGTGTTAGCAATGTCTTCAACACTAATGATTAATAAAAGAAAAAAATACTTATGATGGGTATGGAGATTACCGTGAGAGCAGTAAAATATATATTTTTAATTTTGAAGATGGAAGTATAAAAGCTATGTTGGATCGGCAAAAGTGTGCTGTTTTATAATTTATGAAGCCTATAAAATATATTTAGCACAACCTGGAAATCTTACATATAGACAATGATACCAGTGTAACATTTTTATGTTTTGGAACAGAATTTTCCCAACTCATTTTTTGTATAGGGATTCCATTAAAAAAGTTCTGTGGTCAGATAAATTTGGGAAATGCTCTTCTAGAATGGTCTGTTTTTTATCACTTCTGTCTCAGAGAAAGGGATCTTGATGAGATAATGGGTATAAAGCGACAAAGCAGGAAATCTCTTCTGGGGATGGCCTTAAGATGGGAGGTGAGGTAATAAGATCTGTAGACTGTGCTTACCTAGCATGGAGCTGATTTGGGGTACTAGGTGAATACTGAAGAAATATGCCTGGGAGATTTTGACACAGGGCATTGATTTATTTCATGGGCAGAATCTCTTATGTGCCACTACTCTGCTCTGAGAATTTCATTATCTGAGAGTGAAAACATTAGGTCTGTTGAACTCAAAATTATTTCTCTTATTTAACAAATACTTAGCATTTACTTGGTACTTTACAAATATAAATTTGTGAGGAAATTGAGGTACAGAGTTAAGTAACTTGCCTCAGGTCACACATCATGGGCAGTTTGCCTCCTTGAGTCTGCTTTTCATTTGAACTATTGTTGGTTCATTTCACTCGATTGTTTTTTAAACTTATGCTAGTAGTGGGGCAAGATTTTTTTAAAGTTAATATAGTAATGATGTTTGTTCAGTGTCTGTTCATATAAAATATCTACCACAAGAAAGAGTATCCCAGTTGATTAGGGAAATGCCATCAAAGACGTATAGAGATTTAGCAGTTAAGTTGACAATTGTATATAATGGTATCAGTAATAGAAATAAGAAGTATAATTTTTACCTGAAGAATTTAAGCTCTTTGATCATCAGAGGAACTAGTAGATAGTTGAATCAGCTAATGGCTTTAAACAAATTGCCCAAAATTTGTACCCTTTGCTTTCAGATGAAGATTCTACGCTTGAAAACACATTATGCTTTAGAATTTTAATTCTAAATTTACATTTAAATGATGAAAAATGCATTTTTTTCAAAATACTTTTTACCTATTTATTTCTTAATTTCCCATGGGAAGAGGGGCAGTGTTATTCCCTTTTTTACTTGGGGGAAATATAGTTAAATTGCTCAGAGACTACACAGAATGACACTTTATTGAAATGGTTTTAGATTGTTTTGTCTGTTGAGCTGTGCCATCCAAATCTTCTATAAATATTAGATGAATACCTTTTTGTTATAGTCAGATCCAGTTATCCTAAGGTCAAATTTTAGAAAATGCATATTTTTTTAATTACCCAAGGTTTTAGAATGGGAAGTGCTGTCACATCACATGCTAATGTATGGTTTATCAGAGGCAAAAAGGTCCTGTGTGTTTTTAACATGGGCTTTAGAGCATAGTGTTTCCTTGAATAAGGGAAATCAGGAAAAATTTAAATGTCTCATTTACACAACTTTAAATTGTGGTATGCTTTAAAATTCAAAATGTTCACATCATCAGTGATTTTTACATTTAAAAATGTAAGTTAAATTCAGGGATGGTGGCTCTGGTTAGACATTAGCAATGTGTGATCCTAACGTCAGCAAAAAATGACCTGAAAGAAAGTATTGATTCTGTGTCTTGATTTTATATTTAAGCAGCCAATGGCAAATGTCCTCAAAATGGAATCAGATGTTTGTAACTTAATACTTAAGAAAAATGATGAGTGCATGTTTTTTACTTTTAAGTATTCTCGATGCTGCCTGGCTTACTACAGAAACTGATGTAAAAATAAATGACTGCCTGCATAATTTATGTAATGTCCTGCTTCTGATCCTGTTTGTATTGATTTTTCTAAAAGGCTTTTGTGGCTACAGGAACCAATCTGTCTCTCCAGTTTTTTCCGGCCAGCTGGCAGGGAGAACAGCGACAAACACCTAGCCGGGAATATGTCGACTTAGAAAGAGAAGCAGGCAAGGTAGGAAACATTTCTTTGCAATTTCAAGTACTGTGGATTGCTTTAGTAGGGATTATCTGATAATTTACATTTTAATAAAGAGATCACAGGTCTGATTATACAGGCATATGGTCATATTTGTTTTCATTTTATATAAGTATATAACACAATTTAAAAAAATCACTGTCAAAAATTTTTCTATCATTCCACTACTAATTTCATGTATATAATATTCCCCACAGAAAGTTCTAGCCTTTAAAGAGAATAGTATACTTTCTTCCATATAACATTCAACACAATTTCTTTAAAAGTATTAATGGAATTTTTTTGTTTGTTTCTTTGTTTTCTTACTAAAATGTTTGTGACTGCAATGCTGGAAAAAAATTTTAAAAGAAAAATGAGAAAAGGCTCTGTAGGCTTAAAATTTAATACTATTTAGAAATTGCTAATGGATGACTTTCTACTATTACTATTTGAAAAAATAATATGAAAACTTTAACTTGGAAATCATTTTTTGTTTTGTTTTAAGGAAAAGCTTCTGAGAAAACAAATAGGTGCCTTAAAATTTTTATGTTGAATGTTTAAGTTGAAGATGAATAATGTACATGAACATGTTTAAGCTGAGAGCCCTATTAAAATCTAAGTTAAATATATTATATGATTTTGGAGAAATTTTAATGAGTAATATCTTGGATTGGTTCATCTTTTTATGGATAAGTTGACTTCAGTAAAATATTTAAAGAAAAAAATTTTTTGACCTCACTTTATACTCAATTTTTCTCGTTTCCTTTGCAGTGTTTCCATACCTGGTTTTATCAACTTCATAAGTTACTTTTCTAAGTGTTGTCATGAGTAGTATAACCTATCACTTTATTTGCAAAACATAAGAAATATCTGAATATTCCTTTGAGGAATTTAAAAGATTTTTTTTTTCAGCTATATTAGGAAATTTCTGCTCATGTGTGTATACAATTAAGAGGTTTTTTTGTTTTCGTTATGAAATAAAGTTTGCTCTTTTGATGGTGACAAACCAACTAATCTTTGGAAAGGGAGAGAGAAAATAGATTACAGAATGTTAAAAATGAGTAATAAGGAGTTTGCTTTCCTTTGTATTAGCTTGTTTGCTTGGAAGATTAAAAGCAAATGTTCCAGATCTTACTATTTAATAATTCTTATATATAAAGGAGAAGTTTAGGTCATTGTAGAATTATTGCTTTTTTGTCTGGTGCATGTATGTGTGGCTAAATGAAGAAATTATTGTTTTCCTTGTTCAAAGTGTTCTTAAAGTTCGTTTAACATGGTGGCTCAGATAGTACAGACATAGAACAAAAAAATCCTTTCCTTTGACTTTAATGCTAAAGTATTTTAAGACTTCAGAATTGACATCTCAATGTTACTGAAGTCTTCCAGTATTGAATAACTATTAAATGGATGTTAATGCTCCTAGGAAGTATATTTGCTTGAATTAATTTAAGGATATCTGTTTACTAGATTGAAGACCATATTATCCTTGGCTGTAAGCCATTGAGATGTTTTTAGTTATATGACCAACAACAAAAATGTTGGATAGCTTTTCCTAGGATTTAGATGATATGTTTTCAAATATATCAGGAAAAGCGATAAAACTGACGTAAGCTATCGGGAAACTCACATTTTATTATTTGTTTTAGGAGTTTTGTTTGGTAAGGGGCCAGATATTAAATATTTTCAGTTTTTCAGACATATGGTCTCTGTTGCAACTAGTCAACTCTGCTGTTAGAGTGTGAAAAGAGCCATATAGACAACATGTAAACAAATGAGTGTGGCTGTATTCCAAGAATGGTAGCACTGACAGAAATCAGTGTCCTTTCTCTCAGATTTAAATCTAAAAATGTCATATATTTCTCAAATGTAATTTTGCCAACACCTGTGCTATACCAGTGCTCTAGAAGAAAAGAAGCATTTTAAAGCAAAGAAAGAAAAAAGAAACCTGTGTATTGCTCCATACCACGGGGATAAAATATGCCAGTGAATTTGGAAAAAGGGTACTGACCCATGTTTTCTCATCCATGGCATTCAGGCTCTGGGGTCTCTTTCTCTTCCTCCTTTTTTGTGGTCTCTTTCTGGTAACCACTAGCTTTTATTTCTGTCCCCACAGGACTAGGACTAGAAGCAAAGAAAAATTGAAGAAATTTTCACCAAATGTTAATTATTTACCTCTGTTCCTTACATTGGGTCACAAATCAGTGTCTTTTCTTCCACATACTCTCAACTTAGCTACTTCCTGAAGCAGCTTAGTTCTCTTCCCAATCACACCGAGCTTTGAGAAAACTGGTGGTTAAGGCTTTAGAGTTAGGCATAATTGAGTGAGTTAAGTCCTGGTTTCATTTACTACTATGTAACTTTGGGCAAGTTATTTAACTTTTATGGTCCTCAGTTTTAAGATGAGGTTAATGCATACCTCCTAAGGTTGCCCCAGTGATTGAAATAACATATAAAGTGCTTAGCTCAGTACCTGACAGAGTTATTCAAAAACTTATTCATCAAAAGATATTTATAGAACATCTGTTACATGTACTGAGCACTGTCCTAGGCACTTGAGATACATCAACAAATAAAACAAAGATCCTGCCCTGGACCTTGTTTCCTGGAAGTTATGGAGGAGTAGACAATATACATAATAAATTATATATTATGTTACAAAATGATAAGTGCTCTGGAAAGAGAAAAGTAGAGTCAATGAGTAGGAATGTTTGCAGTTTTAAATAAGACAGTCTGGGTAAAGAAGGTCATATTTGAGTAGAGACCTGAAGGAGATTAAGATATGGTGAGCCACATAGGTATGTGGGAAAGATACTCTAGATAGAGGAGAGAGAGGAAATAGCCATTGTAAAGGCTCTCAAGTGGAAGTATGCACTCAGATAAACAGCAAGCAGGCCATTGTGGTTGGAGTAAACTGAGCAAGGAGGAAAGTAGCAAGAGGTGAGATCAGGGAGATAACAAGGAGCCAGTTTATATGACTATGGGAGCTGTTGTAACAAGGTGGACTTTTATTCTAAGTGGAAAAGGGAAGTAGTTTCAGGTTTTTGAGTAGATGGATGGTATGATCTGCCTTAGGTTTTGAAAGGATCACTCCAGTTGCTGGGTTAACAATAGTCTATAAGGGGAGTGAAGCTGGGAGACCAGTTAGGTTATTACCATAATCTTGGTGAGAAGTCTTCTGTTTCCTTCACAGTGTTTTCAAACCTGGTTTTATCAGCTTTATAAGTTACTTTTCTAAGTGTTGTCATTGGAGCAGTGGTCATAGTCTAAGTGTATTTTGAGATAGAACCAATAGGATTGGATTATGGATTGGATATGGTATGTGAGAATCAAGAATGACTCCAGGTTTTTTTGGCTAGAGCAGCTAGGAGTATGGGATTTACTGTTATCTAAGATGAGAAAGGCTGTGGGTGGAGCAATTTTGAGGAGCAATTTAGGACATGCAAGTTTGGAGGTAGCTTGTTACTGCGGAGGTAGCTTATTACTGTAGCTTCTATTTTCTCACCATCTACCCTTATGGCATTGCTTTTTCATAAGTGCCCCTTAATTTGCTTATCTTAAGAGTTCAGTAGCCTTTTAAAAAGAAAATTACTGAAGTATAGTTTACTTGCACCCATTTTAAGTGTATAATTTGAGTTTTAACTAATATACGTACCCATATAAAAACCACCCACAGTGAAGATGATATTTCAGTCATTCCCAAAAGTTGCCTCGTGCCCTTTTACAGGAATCTGGGAGTGGCTTGGCTGGATGGTTCTGGCTCAGGGCTGGGGCTGTGCAGTCTGAAGACTTGACGAGAGCTGAAGGATCCACTTTCAAGCTCAACTCATATGACTATTGGTAGGTGGCTTCAGTTCCTAGTCATGTGTGCCTCTGGATAGAAAAAGAATGAAGTCACCCTACCTTTTGTGATATGTCCTCCAATCACTTGCGTCTTACTCTGTTCATTAGAAGTCAGTCACTAAGCCCAGCCCACACTCAACAGGGAGGGTGGAGATTTATTCATACACATGGATGTGAATACCAGGAGATTTGGGATCATTGGGGCCATCTAGGAGGCTGGCTACCACAATATTCACTTGGATTAAGTGAATTTAGAAAAAATTAGCATGCTAATAGGAGACAGAAGCACCATGTTCTCTGATATGAATATGGCTTTGCGATCTAAGAAAATGGGCTTGGCAAAATCAGTCCTTTTATTTATTTTTTTCTGCCTTTGCATTGGTTGGAATATTTTCAAACCATGGGTCTTCAATAAGGAAGGCCTGTTAATGAATAACTGACCATAAATATTAGATACTTGATGTATGATCAAGTCAGAGCACAGAGTTTTCTAATTTGTCTTTCAATACATTTGAAACTCACATTTTGGTGTCTAGTGAGCTGTCTACACTGATTTTTAGTAAAGGTCTTTCTCAGAATAGGGTTTGAAATAATACTGTCTAATGGAAGGAGCTTTAGATTTGAGTCAAAAGATTATTTTAACTATTTTCCTTACCTGTAAATGGGAATTATAATGTTTGCCCTATTCATATACCTCGTGTATGGATTAAATGAGATAACAGAATATATGAAAATGCCTTTTTAAATTGTAAAGTTCAATCCAAAATCAGGCTATTCGATGGTTTTGTAGGGTGAGATTACAGTTAACTTAATCATGGAGTTTTGGTGCTATGGTGTGCCTTAGCTCAGCTTCACTTCAGGTAGCTAGCTGTGCAGTGTTGGGAAACCACATCTTTCCTGAGTTGTTCATCACGGTGTCTTAATGAACCTTGACAACCAAAATGTTCTTAATTCTTTCTTAATCTAAACTGCTTTCCTCTAATTTAGCTGTCAGAAGGAAAGCAACTGATCAGAATTTAAATCATTCTTACATTAAATCTTTGTAGACCAAGCAACTCCAATTCCTTTAATCTTTCCTCTTAGGACTCATTTTCAATTACTTTTTATTTCAAACAAATGCAAATGATTATGGTTGACCAGAACTTGTTAGTCTTGAG